AAGAAAGAAAAGAGAACCCAGACAAAGTGAGCATGGTTGCATAAATAGCTCTATGACAAACTGAAGGCCAAAAAGGACAAATATAAAAGATGGAAAGAAGGCTTCATAACGAGAACAGAAAACCAGCAAATAGCTCGAATCTGCCAAGGATGGAGTCAGAAAAGCTAAGGTTCAGGATGAACTAAGACTTGCAACAAATGCCAAAACTAACAAAAACAATTCTTCCAATATATAGGGAATAATAACAAAGTCAAAGACATTTATAGATCCATTAATGGAAGACGATGGCAAGACAATGATGGGCCAGCAGGAGAAAGCAGAACTGTTTAGTTCCTTCTTTGCATCTATTTTCACACAAAAAGAAAAAATAGTCCAACCTATCAAAAACAGCACTGTGGGAAACAGAACAGGAAAGCAGGTCAAAATAGGCAAAAAGATAGTAAGAAAACTCCTTTCAGTTTTAAATGAATTCAGATCGCCAGGACCAGATGGTTTATATCCCAGGATACTGAAAGAGTTGGCAGATGTAATCTCAAAACCACTGAACAAAATGTTTCAGAACTCCTGGAGCACAGGGGAAGTGCCAGACGACTGGAAAGGAGTTGATATGGTTCCAATTTTCAAAAAAAGGAAAAAAGTGAAACCAGGAAACTATAAGCCAATCAGCTTGACATCAATATTTGGAAAAATCCTTGAAAAGGTCATCAAGCAGGGGATTTGTGAGCACCTAGAAATGAACAAGGTGATTAAAATCAGTAGTTCAAGGAAATACTCTGGATATGGTATACTTGGGCTTCAGTAAGGCATTTGACAAAATAGATCACATTCTATTGAAACAATGCGGGATAGACAGTACCACCACCAAATGGCTTTGCAATTGGCTGACCAACCTACTCAATATGTAGCCTTCCACAGAACTACATATACATGCAGAGAAGCATGCAATGGGGAACCTCAAGGTTCTATCTTGGGTCCAGCGCTCTTCAACATTTTCATAAATGATCTAGATGAGGGGATAGAAGGGGAGCTCATCAAATTTGTAGACTGCACCAAGCTGGGGGGAATTGCTAACACTTTGGAAAAAAAATTCAAGATTCAGAAGGATCTTGACAGACTAGAGAAATAAGATGCAGTTCTGAGGTGAGAAAAATAAGGTCCTGCACTTAGGCAGGAAAAACTAAATGCACATGTATAGAATAAGCAGTACCTGGCTCAACATTAATAACTGTGAGAAGGATCTAAGTGTCCTAGTGAACCATCACTTAAGTATGAGTGCTGCAATTGCCAAAAAAGCCAATGCAGTTCTAGGCTGCATCAACTGAGAGATTGCATCAAGATCACAGGAAGTGATAGTACCACTCTATACTGCACTAGTGAGGCCATGTTTGAAATACTGTGCCCAGTTCTTATCACCACAATACAAAAATGATGCTGAGTTCCTAGAAAGAGAATAGAAAAGAGCAACAAACATGATAAGAAATATGGAGACTAAATCATAAGATGAAAGTTAAGGGAAATAAGTATGTAGCCTAATGAAGAAAAGGATTAGAGATGATATGATAGCTGTCCTCCAGTACTTGAGGGCAGTCACAGAGATGACAGGGTTAACTTATCCTCCAAAGCACTTGAGGGCAGGACAAGAAGCAATGCATGGAAGCTCTTTAAAGAGAGATACTACCTGGAACTCAGGAGAAATTTCCTGACAGTGATAGCAATTACCCAATGGAACAGCTTTTGGGTACCCTCTCGCTGGAGCTTTTCAAGAAAAGATTGGACATTTTGTCCGGGATGATATAAGGTCTGTTCCCTAGAACAGAGGTCCCCAACCTTTTGGACACCAGGGACTGGTTCCGTGGAGAAAGGTTTTTCCGCGGACTGGAGAGTGCATGGTTTTGTGTGCTGCCTGCATCTTACAGATGGGGCTTTGCTTGTTTGCACAGCCTGGTTGTTGGCATGCCGTGGCCCGATACTGGTCCAGAGACCAGGGGTTGGGGACCCTGCCCTAGAATACCTCCAAGGTCCCCTCCAGCCCTATAATTCTATGGTTCTAAATGTATATTTCTAACATCATGGGCAACTTTTTTGAAGAGAAGGGTCATAATTAGTTCTGAGAGATATGTCAGGAACCACTCTCTAGAACAGTGTTTTTTATTCTTATTCATTTTTAAATGTATGGCGTTAAACACCCAGAATGCTCACTGCGGTATTCTGGGAGTGGAAGTCCACACATCTTAATATAGTTAACATTGAGAAACACTCTTTAAAAGATCAGTTGGGCTGAAACAAAGAAGGGGTTGATATCAGAACAAATGCTGCATGAACTCTTGATTTAAAGTTCACTGAATTAAACACACTCCCATATACTTAACAATTTTAAACTTCAGTTAAAATTTCAATTCCATAACCATTTTTGAAGAGGTCCTTGAGGATACATCTAATGTTTTAAAAGCCTGGGCCTCAACTTGTGAAAATCTGCCAAGTAAGTAACAGACAGGAAGTATGTGAGGATGCTACTTCCTCATGTGTAAGCAGAGTATAGGTGTACAATAAAGGGGGAAAGGATTTAAGAGCAAAAAGGATGGTCCAGGGAATCTGCCAAACTCTCATTTTTGTGTCCCTCTTCAATACTTTTCTTTCAGCTTTGATATCTAGCTGAGACATGACTGGGGAAGTGATATAGCCAAGATTTAAGCACAGCCCAACAATGTCTTTATTGTTATAGATTTCTATGGAATGCCAGGGAATGTTTAAAATCAGACTCCCACCATTGAGATAATCACCTGTAGGGCTTTTACTATATAGGAAATATTGGATAGCACTGTATATATCATAAACACTTTTATATTTGGAATATGCAAAATATGTAATTTTGAATCATTTGAGTCCCAAATGTTGTGAAATAGCATTGTTCTGACCACATTGGTGTATTTTGAACTCAAGACAAATGGTTGTTAAGCTCTAAGTGACCCATCATGGCCTTGAAATACAGTTACAGCAGTTTCGTGTTTGGAACACAGAATTTTGGAAATTTCAAGCTCAAAATTGAAAAATTTGCACATTTAAAATTATGAAGAGATAAATCACCTGAGGGAAAGCAGCAATTGCCCAAAAATAATTTTCATTCAACTTCTGTATTTGATGCAAAAATGAGAGTCCTACATTTCTGTAAAGTATAATTTAACTGAGCCATGAAACATCTTGCAATTAGTAATAATGTTCATTTTCACAATAACCATAAGCTCATATGCTTGGAATTGAAACAAGTAGCAAACAGGTAGGATAAATGCAACACCATAGTATTACACCAAAAATGGAACTATCGATGAAAACTCCAAGATCTGTAGAACTAGATGTTTTAAATGCCAGCCCTGCTGCCCATGATAATTCTGATATTTATTTCTATGTCCTAGCTCCCTAGTTGTTTATTAGATTTTTATCCCACCTTTATTACTTTATAAGTAACTCAAGGCGGCAAACATACATAATACTCCTTCCTCCTCTTATTTTTCCCACAACAATAATCCTATGAAGTGGGTTGAGCTGAGAGAGATGGACTGGCTCAAGTCATCAGCTGCCTTTCATGCCTAAAGCGGAACTAGAATTCACAGTCTCCTGACTTCTAGCTTATTGCCTTAATCACTACACCAAATTATCATCCACTCTCTGAGCAGTTTTTGTTGGATCCTTGACTATCCTGTATTTCACCTACACTTCCCTCTATTCATGGTTGAAAAATTAGAGCTGTCCTCTTGTATTTTTTTCTTCTTCTACAGTACTTGGATTCCTTTTCTGGTTATGATAGAAGAGGGTATCTAATAGCATATTAGAATTTGAATCCCAGAAGAAGCAGATGAAACACATTTATCTCCTTTGTGTTTAGTTCTCTAATAAGGCCTATCTCATCCTGGGCAACCTGCAAACCAATACAATTAGTGAAACATTATAAACAATGTGTAAATTATTCAGTAGCCTACAAATGACATATACGATAGTTGTCATTAGCTACAATCAGCTCTAGTAGATGTAGCATGCAAGTTCTTTAAGTACAAAGGAAGAGAATCCATTAATTCTGGAACCTCTAACTGAAGGTTCATGTCTTCAAAATACTATCTATTATCCCTAGTCTAAATCCAAGAAACAAAGTGTAAGTTATATTTGTCAAAAAAAGAACTTGTAAGCAAGGCAGTTCAACCTGCTGATTCTCTACACTTCAACAGCTCTGAGAAGCACTCCTCTAAGAGAACAAATTAATGACTAGAAGAGTCATGCAGTAACAGATCTTTTATTGCCTTTTGCTACTTAAGAGTAACAATACACAAAGAAAGTTCATCATTACCTATAATATTCATACAGAAAGAAAAACATCTTTCTTACCCAATGCTTTTTGAAAAAAACCCTATTTTTAAAACAATAACACATTATTTAAAATGTTGCAACAAAAAATAAAGACTGCAGATTTTGAAGTTCAGAGCTGAGGTTTGAGATTTCAAAAATGACAATAACAGTTCGGGATATAGTTAAGAAATCTGCAGAAGCTGTTCACTCAATTCACAATTTCCTTCAGTTTTGAAAATCACCCCCCCACCCCCATGGCGGCCAAGAACCAGCCTTCTAAGTTTGCTTCCAACAGAGGATCTCAGAGCTTGTAGATAGGGACACCTCTTTGGACTCCGTATACCTAGAACAAGCACTCTCTCCAATCAACAGTGTGTCCTACCTTCATGACAAAAATCAGAGGGACATGTTTTCTGGTTCCTGGCTAAAAAGACCCAGGAAAATGTTAGATTCCCTACATTCAGATCTGAATAGATTGTTGAATGGACAATTCTCAGGGCTGCTGACCAAGCAAGCTATCTAACTGCCATTCAGAAGTTGAGTTTTTAATTCTAGCACTCTCCCAGACGATGCTTTGCTCTGTCTCTTAAAGATTAAAAAAAACCCCATAAACCGAATACTCGATTTTCCTGTTACAACTCCACGATTTAGTATGAAATCCTTACCCCATGATGACCGATGAAGACGTGCCGGGCGCGTTGCTTAGCAGATCAATTCTTAAAAAGATTTCCGCCCCCCCCCCCCGTTTCCTACGCTGCGAGCGCACCCCGACCAGTTACAGGATTAATCCTGGCAGGTCCCTCCAGCCAATTTTCTGCCTTTCCAGGGTGATCTTAACGTGCCTTCTTCGGCCGGATTTTAAACACAGAAGTCTGCAGGCATTTGGGAATGTAGAAGAGATTTGGGGGAGGGGGCGGGAGGGGGGGGGGAAAATCGCAACCCTTTCGAGGGGGAGGAGGAGAATCGACCTAGGGCATCAACATGAAGAGACCCCCCCCCCGATAGCCTCCCAGAGACCGTCTTCTTCACCGAGCCCCCTGCACGAAGGGGGCCAGGGAGAGCTCCAGCTCCCTGTCAGGAGGAGGCGGATAAGAAGGAGGTAGTAGCAGAGGCAGCACCAAGCCAATCCTCCTCCTGCGGGGAGAAGGGGAGGCACTCGCCCGCCTCTAGCAGGAGGATTAAAAAAAAAAAAATCCACAGCAGCTCGGATGCCTAAGCAGTTTATTGAAATGCCCGAGAACCACAAGCGCCCAGATCGCGGTCCGTCTCAGGTACAGAGCAGGCTCGTGGGGCTTGCGGTGTGCGCAGCGCTCCGCGCCGCCCTTCCTTCTAACACCCCCGTCGGTAGCAGCAGCAGCAGCAGCAGCGAGAGCATGGGGGGTGTCGCTTCATTTTTCCAAGCAGTAGCAGCAGCCGGCAGAAGCCCCCTTGCCGGCGCTGACATCGGGCTCCGGTAGACCGGCAGCTGAGGCAGGGCACGGGCCACGCATCCCCTCTTTAAGGGCGGGAGCGGGTGCGGGCAGAAGATGAAACGGGAAGGCAGTGGATACAACGCGGGAGGCGGCCAAAGAGCCGCGGTCCTTCCCACGGCAAGGCAGGGCAGGTCCCCTTCAATCCCGCCCGCTTCTGCAGCGGGGCATCCTCTTCCTCCGTCTCGTGTCCGGCAGATCAATCATGCTCAGCAGCAGCCAAGCAGGAGGAGTGGCAGCAGCGGCGGCGTTGGCGCCAACAGCAGCAGCGCCCCTCTAGCCCCTCGCTGCAGCAGCGGGGCCAAAGCGCGGGCTGCAGCGGCGGGAGGAGGAGGAGGGGGGGGCGGTTGCTTCTCCAGCACCTCCGACGCGGAGCTTCCCAGTCCAGGGCCGAGGCGCGCCGGGCGGCTCAGGTTCTCCTGCTCCTCCTCACACCTCCTCCCCGTGCCCGCGCACACGCCACCGCGCTCGGCTAAGCGGCCACTCGCTCCCTTTCCAGGTTCCCTGCGCAGGGCACTGAAGAGAGCGCGCCCTACTCCCCCCACGCTCGGGGCCTGAGAGGGCAGGAGGAGCGGAAGGCGGAGCGGAAGGCGCCCGCTCTCGCTTTGCCTCACTCCGACCCTCCCACCGGCCCCCGCAGCCACCAAAAAAAGGGGAGGAACGGGAGGGAGAATGGCGCGAACGATCTCCGCTTATTGCCCCACTCAGGCCCAGCACTCTCGGCGAGGGTGCACGGTGCAGTCTCCCTCTGCTACTCCGCAGCCACGGACCCCCACGCGGTAGCAGCACTTGCTGATTCTGCCTCCATCCTCTACTTCGGGACCTTTAAATAGGATACGTCACCACGTTCCCCTACGCACTGTCGTCACACACTGCTCCCGGGGCTGACGTCATTGGGGTGCGGGGGGGGGTGATGTCAGAATGCTACATGCCGCCGGAAGCGCTTCTATAATAAGGAATAGAAAAGAAGAATGCGGGGAACCAAAATAGAGGGGTTTGGTCCGTGTTCTACAACACACCTCCAGGAATTGGATAAGCTCCTGCAATTCGTCCGTCTGCCACTTCCGTAACTGTCCTTAAAAAATGTGTGTGTTAAGAACGATGAGACTTATTTTATTTTTTATGTAAAGTTCCCGAAAATGTACCCCCCCCCCCCCAAAATAGCAAATGCTAGAAGTAAGCTAAACTTGGGCTCTATCAACTTAGACGCTTACTGGTGTTCCCACTGTGAAACCCACTATTGAAATCTTAACCGTTTTGTGCCACTTTGCAAATTGGAAAGAAAATGAAGTCATATATACTTAAAATGAGAAATTTTAAGTCATTCAATGAGAATAACTGAAGAATAAGGAGATTCAGTGAGTCTGGAGGAGAAAATGTGAAATTACAATTACAAGTAATTTAGGAATATATTATCAATGATATTGATATTGTAACAAACAAATATTTAAAGTAAAAATATCAATCCATTTAAGTCTTTATAGTTATGATATTTTTTCAAGAAAACTCATCCAGGTAGTTGACAGGACTCAACACTGACTCATTCTGAAATTTGTTTTTGTGTTGGAGCACCGTACATATCTCTCAAATCTTTTGGCTTAAGTTCTCTTATTCTGCTGTACTCTAATTCCCTCAGTTCATATATTGAGTAGAAATACAAACTACAGTGGTTCAACATTCAGAACTAAACAAACTACATTATGGCTCACTGCAGTGTGTGAATCCAGTCTATGGAAGCCAGTGGTTTGAGCTCTCAGATTCAAATCTGTTTGAAAAACTGATAGCAGAAGCCTCAGCCCACCACATACAAGTATCCTTTCAGAGAAAGGTGGGATGATAGAGCTTCACCAATATCTTGGTTAGGGTAAACTGCTGTTGTGGTCTTGAACTCTTTCAGAAATCCTTCTGAGAAAATCCATTGCCTGATTGCTTTCAGGATGGGTACCTGGAGTATCCTTTTCCAACTACATTGTATAGCTTAGGTTTACATGAAGAAGAGTGTCCCAAAGACAACAAGAACCCAAGCTATACAGGACATAGATGATCACCAGCACCTTGTATTGGGCCCCAAAACTTCTTGGTGACAATTGTAGAAAGCCACAGAGATGGCCATGAGGTAAATATTCAGAAGCTATCATGTATTGTATGGTAAACAAAAAGGACAGAAGCATTCAAATCAAATCAAATCAAATCAATCTTTATTTGTTCCTAGACCAGCAAATAAAACACAAGAGACACAATTAATTATGATAAAGGGAAAATATATTCTAAAATATCTGAAAAGGATTAGAGTTAATACTATAAAATACTGTGTGGCCTATAGAACAACACTCAACGGGTCAGAAGCATTCCTTAAATCCTGGCAAAGGAAATAGCATTAAGAAGTGACTCAGACTGATTCCTCTCTGATTCATTGTGGAATAAGAGGGAAGGGAAGAAAAGCATAAGCAAATTTGCAAGATTGTGTTACTATAGTCTTTCTCAATTAATAAAGTCTTCTCAACTCTTCCTACAGAGTTTTAGTCTACCTCGTAGGTCTGATACCAATGCAATTCCTGAAGAACAGATGTTATTTTTGTAAACCCATTAAGGCCGGGCACCAAGTAGGAGGCTGTGATTTGTGCCAGCTGTAGGTTCTGAGTAATATAATAGAAATAGTTATAGAACTTTTCTACCGAGAAAATGTTTGACTAACTCAACTTTCTCTCCTTCATCTTTTGCACACTGCAATAAGCCCAAATATGGTCTGATTGATTTCGGCTTCACCATACACAGCTTAATGCAATATGAGAAACCAGTTTACTCTACTTCAAAAGTAACTCATAAATGACCAGACATCTATAGTTATAGCTTATCCACATGAACACCTTGATACAACTGCCCTACTGACCATTTCTCAAGTGCCGGAGTGCTTGGCATTGTCCTGTATCCACCATAGCCCACTTTGGAAGGCAACATCACCCACTAAAAGTTGTGTTTTCTGCCTTGAAGCAGCTCAAGTGATGTGCACTACATTTTATAGTAGGCAAAATGTTTGCATTCTGTTTGGCTCCTATGTAGTGTTGCAAGAAGTTTGCTCTCCTCTGGTACTGGACCCTGCCCTCCATGGCAATTTTTCTGTACAACTTCACTTATAAAATAATGAAAAGCTGAGTGGTTAAAAAAAACAAGTTAGATGAAATTGGCAACAGTTCTGCCCTTTTCTCCTTCTACCCAGGTGACAGGAAAAAGATAAATCAGGTATGTTTCCTTCCTTTTCTTGATTTACTAATCCAGGAATAGATACCTATGTATTGGTATCTATTCCAGGGTATATGCCAGGAGGGTTAAAGATGGTGAATTTGCCAACCAGCGGCGGTGGTAAAAATGCAGTCCTGGTAGAACATCAGGTCATCATGGGGTACAAAGCAAAGGAAGGGTTTGAAATTTGGGGAGAGTCGGTTTCCTTTCCAGCAGATTTACATGCAGGAGTCAGCAGCTTGAGACTGCATTGTGGAAAAATATGTATTTCTACATATTTAAGACTGTTTCTTCTCTGCCATGCTTTTCATTCTTACAAAGAATTATCTGTAGGGCAGAAGAACAGACTGTATTGGGCTACTGAGAAATGAGTTTGAATTTCCAGTCTTTAACCAGAAGAGAGCCAGTTTGGTGTAGTGTCAAGGCATCAAGCTAGAAATTAGGAGACTTTGAGTTCTACTGTTCCATACAGGATGACCTTGGGACAGTCACTCTCTGGCAGCTTTTGGAAGGATACAGTGGCAACATACTGCAAGGACTAGTGCAGGCACTTGTCAAGAGTCAACACTGACTTGAAAGCACAAACAACAATAAGGACAATAGCAAAAACCCTGGAATTTGCCCAGTTTGTAGATACATGCCTTTCCTTGCATAATCTTCTTTGTCTCTGAGCATCTGATAAAGAAGCCAAAATAAGCTATTTTACAAAATCCCAAGTGCTTTCCTTTGACAGTTATGTCATTTACTTTTTATTAGAATTTAGACCCTATGTAGTTAGTTAATTTTACATTTCATATTATTTTAAAATCTTGATCATTCTAACCTTCTTCCTCCTTCCTCCACATTCTCAGTTGGAGCTGCTTTCTATTTCTGTTTTCTTACCTACTTTGAGAATGGCCAATACACCTATTTGTACTTTGTACTGTGATTGTACTTTGCTTTTCAGAAGAGTGAAGACCTTCAGGGAAAGTTGAACTGTTCAGCATGTGTAAATCTTAAACTTGGAATCCTCTGTGTCCATTTTAAC